CCCTGGTATCGCCGGTATAACCTAACCTAACCTAAGATAGATGCAGGGATACAATTTGGATTTTTTCCAGTTCTCATGTATAAACACAACCCATACAGAATGCAATCCTATTAGTATCATTATTATAATAATCCGAAATAATAAATTTTCAATGCATGAATTAAATCTAAGTAAACAGTATAAGCAGAAAAATTTAATATATCTGGAGGTAATTTGAGACGCCATACTTCATCAAATAATTACTTAACCCAAAAAACATTTGGTATATTTGTTGCTACAACTATTCACTTTACATAATATACTCCTTATGTGCAATAAGTTTAACCTTCATTACTTGACATAATAACTGGTGAAACACAAATCGAAAATATCACATCGAAAATGATGCTTTCTGAAGAAAACTGAACCCGTATAGAACAATTCGTTACGATCAAATTCAAACGGAAAAAATACGATCTCGAAAAAAACTGATTTCGAAAAAGAAATAAACAAAAAAAAATTTAAGCGATGCCTGGACACATACTAACGAAAACGTCCGGGATAAAAACCGTCTGGTAGACGAATGGGGATTGGTTTTAGTCCGTGCAAATTGGACATACCACTATTGTGATGGTATAGTGATAATGCACAAAAAAAAAATAAGCTTAAACTTGTGATTAAAAAAAAACAATTTAGAGATATTTTAGCTTTTTAATTTTGCTAAAGTAATCTAAAAACGGTTACATAGCTTATTCATTAGGATAAAATATAATAAGACAGCATTTGCTATTTTAAAATAGATCTGGGAGGGACACGGAAATCAATTACAAGAGAAAATCAAAAACAAACAAAATGACATCGGGACATTCAAATTCTGCTTCACCAAAACGAAATCAAGACGTAAGTAAAAGTTGCTTGTGTTATTTCTTAATGCTTGTCGGTGAGCATCCCTCTTTTTTTGCATAACATAGCTAGGCTCACATACGCATATTAATATGTTAACTTATATTAAATGTATGAGTTTTCTTGTCAATTCATTACAAAAACTAATGTGTATTGTTAAGTGAATTAAATCCCTGTTTTATGTATATAATGCGTTGTTGTTGACTTGCGTTTATTTGTGATTTTTAAATGGATCAGTTATGGGATTAATCGAAGAAGTACGTTGAGCCAATGCTTGGTCATCGCTAAGCTAATGAAGTTGAGAAATTAGTTTTTTAGTCCGGAGGATACTAAAAAAAAACACCTGTAAGACGGTCTCAAGATAAGAAAGCAGCGCTACAATTTTATAAAGGACTAAAATGCATGTACCTATAGTTCTTTGTAAGATATTTATTCTAAATGCCACAAGTCGAAATGAAAGAGGAAATTACATTTATCGATTAGGGTATTTAAGTTAACTTATAATCCAACATTCGTTCTTTGCTAAAATAATAAACGATGTAGTAGTCTATCCGGAAAATTCAAAATCACTATGTGCGTGCAAGTGCTTTTATTAAGAAAAATAGAAGATTATCCGTAACTTTTACTAACTATTATTATTAGTAGGCATTAACAATAACATCCAGCCAGGTGCATGGACAGACAGTTTGGCAGCAGCAGGTGAAAGAGACACTTATTATATAAATGGTGGGAAATGCTATAAGCGATTAAAGTCAATATTAAATAAATTTTTTTTAAATAAGTCTTTCGAATATACTTGTGAGCTGCATCTTTATTCTATAGATATTAATAGGTATACTTCGTTGTACTGCTCTATTTTATTAATCTATAATTTCACATCTACTAACGACTAAATTATGCATTTCGGAGAAGTGAAAAGATAAAAATCCTAATGTTCATACAAATAATTTCTACTTGAAATGTTTTACTTTTTATTACAATACAGTAACTGGAGCTATGCAATTCGTAGAGTTGTGGAACATTTTTTGCAAATGATACTTTTTAACAAAGCTTGTTATCCCAACAAAAATCTAACATCTGCAACAAAAACATTTAGAATACATAGAACCTTAAAGACTTTTAATTGAAGAATAGACATGAAATTTAATTATTCTATTTCTAAAATAGGAAGGTCGCAGGAAGAGGTGGTTTTAACAGTAATTAATGGTGGTATTTCCAGTATTATGACATTTTCATTCAGCTGTTTCATTTCTACGTCAAACAGATACAATTGTTCTAACAATCTTTTCAATCTGAGAAAATAGTTAGTACTTTGAATAAAGGGAACATTTTTAATTAACACAGTTTGTACTTTCAGCTTACATTCACTGCCTAACTACACAAACATTAGTTATTTTTACAGTCACTAATACTTCTCGGTTTTTTTCGATTCTACATGGCAATATTTTATCCGATAATATCGTGAATATTGCTTTAAGAAAAACTATAGTTTAGGTGTCGGCTAAACCATATCTATAAAATGAGATTTAAATTTTTTTACATGTATCTATTTTCTATATAATTTTCTTATGCTTTAAAAATACTTTTAAGAAATTATCAGTACCACAGCTTGTTTTTTGCAATGTAAAAGATACACTTAAAAAATTAATAATACTGATTTATACAATTTTAAGTCATCATTAAATCTCAAGTTTGGTTAGATAAAATATTTTTCCACCTTCGTATTAAAATACTTATTACGAATCATTTTCAGTACAAAACCTTTGTATCTAAATTTAATTATATACTTTTACTAATAATAAATTAAATGTGCCGTCGACTATTCAATTACAGTGCTCATATGATAAATTCTATGATAAAATTAATTACTTCGCTTATTATCTAAAATATGGTAAGTAATAAATACAACCATATTGAGCCATATTATTCTTGACAAATATAATTCAGAGTAATTCAGGTTCAATTAAAAATACTAAAGAAGATATTTTCTTATTTGTCCATAGATTAAATCGATTGGAAAATTATTGGTAATGTATATCTTATAAGCAAGGGGCTTGCCTCATACACAAGAGATCTTCATTAAGGAATCTTCAATAGATTGGCTTTAAGTCTCAAAAATACTTGTTTTATTTTACAAATACAAATTAATACACACATGCTCTGTAAAAATCATTCGGAATTATGAAATAAAATATACAAAAAATATATATCAATCAATATATTTTTGCCGCCGTAGAAATAAATGCTATCAAGTGCAATATACCCCGGCTTGAATCAATTTCTCATATATTTTTCATAAATTGATTGCGGTATTTATTCTAACTGCTTTAGCGAATTATAATTTTATGACCACAATCAGCTCAAAACAGCCTCTTCGAAAATATCATTTTATGGGTTTTGTCAACTGAATACGGTACTTGGTCTACAACTTTCGTTTATTACCAACACTGTTGTACAACGATGACTTTGTGCAACCGCAGAACTCTCCAAAGTATAATTACTGATTTAAATACATTGGTAAACAGATTATTTCAAATGACTTTTTGCAACCGCAGAACTCTCCAAAGTATAATTACTGATTTAAATACATTGGTAAACAGATTATTTCAAATCAGTACTACCTACTTATAAAACAAAACTAGAATTAATATCTTTTAAATGCATTTACATTATTTTATTATTAATTTAGTAAACTTCTTTCAGTCGCTGACAACTGACATTATTGGTTTGGACTATTATCCATCTTCGGCTGTTGGCTTTTGTTGATTCTACATATATATTTGGAAATGGATTTTAGAGTTGGTATCATTCAGAATTGACAGATCTACGTAGTTCTAATGATGTTTTAAAGTATTTTTATTAGATTTGGTTCACTATGAAACACGCATACTGTGAACAGGTATATGGTATATGAGTAGATTCATGATTCGTTACTTATGTAAATCATATATAGATATTTTTTAGCTTTTTTATTATACGTCCGATAAATATTTTACTTCAGTATAGTTCACATAACGATTTTATATTACCAGGTTTTGCAAAACACCTATGTTTTTTGGAATAATAATTAATTTTAAGTCATTTTAATGAACTTTAACTAGAGGTAAGCAATGTCGACGATCAAACTCGTTATATTAGCATATCACAGTTGTAAAAGATGGAGCTTTAAAAGTTTAAGTCGGGTAGAAATTTATCGATGCCGTTTTGTCTTGATAATCCACATAGAAAATTATAACAAAACGTTGTATAAAAAAAAAGTTGGTGTAATTGTTTTCATATTTACAATGGAAATATCGAATAGGCCCTTATATGTTAATATACATGGAGTTGTCAATATTCGCAATGTAAGTTGGGATGTTGCATTACTTATAATGTAATATATCTTGTAAATAAATTTAATAAGCTATTTGAAATATGAAAAATCTCGATATTCTTTATAAATATTTCTTGTCAATATGTGAAAAGAAAATAATAAAAACAACAACTTTTATTCATATAACTATTGAATCCTTGTATTGATAAAATCGTCGAAATCGATCTTCAGACTATAACTGACTGGAATATTTTGCTTCTAGAAATTGCCGATAGCGGAATATCTTACTCCTAAGCAAGAATTCTGCCAAAAACACCATATCTGGCTCCTAAGTGAAAATTCTTGTTCTTTTTTTGATATTCTACTCCCTTAGCGAAAATCGAAATACATCGAAAAATTATAGGTCAACATTTTACTCTTAACTATGTGAATTATACTGGAAAAAAGAGTAATTAGCATAAATGTTCTTAAAGTTTTTAAGGACTTAACTTACCGTTTTAGAAACTTATTTAGAATAAAATATAATTTCCACTGCCAAGAAAGATTACAACTATTCGTATCTCACATTAACAACTTCAACTGCTATTTTATATCCATAAGTAATACTGAATGTTCTTTTATAGATTGTATTTACAAATAATAAATAAAAACAAAAAACTTCAACTCGCTTTTATTAGGAATTTAACTAAAACTAGGTCTTAAAATGGATATATCTTAGACATACTCGTATGCATATACTTAAGACTTAAACAAGTGCTATTAATAATTTTAACGCCAGTAGTAAAAAATAGTTGAAGATACTTACTCGTGTTACAATAACCATTTTTGCCCTTCATTGACTGTCTTTAAAATTGAAAGTTTGAACTTCAAACTTTTTATTTTATAATTTTAACCTGAAAATAAAAAAATACATTAGTCAATATTTATATTGAAATGATAAATAAATTCGTATGAATAAATAGCTAATTTATATTATGAATTGAATGAAATGAAATAAAATAAAATAAACTTTTGGTTCACATATGTGAGTAACCAAAAGTTTTTTTTTTAGATAAAGTCCTATAGTGTTTTGCATTTTACGGTTGCTCAATATTGGGCTTATGGGCGACAAAAACTTAACGGATTTTGACTTAACTGAAATATACAAAACAAAACAATATAAATAAATTATAATGAAAAGCAAACACAATTTTAAAGTCTTTTTTGTAACCACAGTGCGCTTAATTAATCAAGAAGCATAGGAGTAAAGCCATAAGTAATAAAAAACCGGCCGCACTTGCCTCGAAATAAAGGTGAAGTTGAAGTTTACGGTAAATTAACGATTAACAACCCACCGCGTCAGTGTTACCAACATAATAGTTACAACGCATGAAGCCATACTCTTTCTAGCCCGTCCGTCTGCACTGTGAGATATGTGCATACCAATGTATTCAGCCGAGACTAGAACTTGCTGGCCATACACTTGGACTTAATTGAAGAGACATGCATTTCATTATGCCTTAGACAGCTCTGTGGATTATACAATTTACTTTAGTTTGTCTGTTAGTTATATAAAGAAACAGGTTGCATAAAAACAAGATACACTTAGATAAATTTATCTAAATTTCGTTCAAGTAATTTTGTACTCTGTGGAAAATTATAAAGCGACACGAAAATGTGAATAAACTATTTGATTTGTGGACTGGCAAAGAAAATCGTAACAAAAGATTTCTTCTTTTCAAATTTTAAATTTTTCTATGATGTATAAATAAATATTTTGTATTTTTTTTTTTTTACTACAGAGCTCACACATATTTTTTAAATATTTTTTATATTTTATGAAAAAAAAACACAAAGCTTATATCCAACTAATTAACTTTATAATGAACTGACGGTACAGAAAAAAAATAGGGGCTGAGATATCTAAATTAAAATCAAATTTTTTCTAAATTATATATATCATGATTTTGCTAAAGGGTGACCCAATTGAAATGCAACTTTTTAGAACCTTATCATTTTTTGTATTTAAAATTAAATTTCATCGAGTCAAGATAAAATAATATTGGAAATGAATAAATTTTTTAAGTTTGTTTATAATTCGAAATGGATGATATTAACCCTTACTATGACCATGAGTCAAACGCCCCACCAATATGTTTTTCCATTTACGATAAAAGATTCTTTTAAGTTTATCAACATATATCTAATACAATATTAATCCCGAAGTTTCCTATGCTGCAGGCATTGGCCAGACTCTCACCTTTACAAATACTTCTGGCTGGTTCTAATTCGATCTTCTTTACCCATTAATACCAGGAATTGTGAATTGAAAACGGGATTCGTTCCCCTCTCCATTTCAACTAAATAAGTTCTCGTACCCCATAAAAGCAGTTCGATCCATCTGTTGTTCTGCTGTTGGAGGGGACTAAACGATAGCGTAAAATGAAGTATGAAATGTTGCCTTCGAGGTAGAACTATACTATACTTTAGATATCAAGAATATATAAACATTAATCGAGGAATCAAATCACTTAATAGGCAAATAAAAGGAATGACCAAAATAAATGGAAAAACATTCAAATATTTTCAAATTTAAAGAGAAATTAATCTATTAGATACCAAATAGTACTTACTTTTTATTCTGCAAATAGTACGAGTACTTAATATGAAGACTGGGAACTGAAATTTATAGTACGTTACATATATTATTAAGTACTTATTAATGTCAAACGACAAATAATGAGGAAAAATACTAAGTCATTAGAATGCTTTTCTCAGTAGTAAAGGTTTGGCAATAATAATGAAAAAAAAACTTTGATATTTTATTCCGTCTAGAAGTACAAATTTTACAGATGCGGTATAAATTTGGATTATCGAACAAATTTAAATACCATTACGGTAGGTTCTTCATTCAGATTCCTGAAATTTATAATTTGAAAAATGTGTCTGCTTCATGCCATCGGGATATTAATTTGGGTTTAAAGTAAAATATAGTACTATAAAACCTATTCGAATATATTTATATCAAAATCTTTAGAAAAAAACAGTTTAGGAGCATGCAATTAAGTCTCACATCAAGGTCCACTGCATAATTAATATACCAATAATTAAGTGTACTACCTAACAAGGGTCAACAGAAGTAAGTCTAAATTTATATTATAAAGGACCAACAATACACAAGAAAGTAGGAAACTACAAAGACCAAGTAATAAGCGCATATCATCAAAATATCTGTTGAAAAAAGAAATCCAAATTGATATGAAAACTGAGCTTTAAATGATCCTCAAGATTTTTATGGATTTTTATCTATAGCATAGAAAACGGCTATGATGTAGTGTTACATGGAAATATATAAAACAAATGGGCGATAGAGATGAAAAACAATATATAGAATACATATAGAATAGAAAAATAATAAAATAAGTATAAGAGCATTGTGTGTGATTTATGGAATCTCAAGAGTATTAATATTAACTACCGTCTGACTATATGTTTTATTCGAATTTCTATAAGTTTAAATCAAAAAAATGAAAAATTACTGGTTTATCAGTGAAACAAATTTAAAACAAAATGGAGAATAGTACTTGAGTTTATCTATAAAGACAAAAAAACTAAAATTGTATAATTAAGAGCTACTCATCACATATAATGGCGTGAAATTTTTGAAAAAATGGGGATTATAATAAAATTATATTACAGAAAAAAATTTAATTTTGACTAATACATTCTCAATATATAGATACATATAAACATAAATATATATATTTTATATATACATATTTATATTATATAAATATATATGTACTATATATATCAATTTGTATATATGTGTATATATATAATACAAAAAATATATAAATATATATATAACATATACATATAACCATAATATGTGACGAATTCACAAAATTGAAGTTATGTTATGTTAAGCGTTTTCCGAGTTAGTGCATCTGGGCACTTTTACTCTATGATAGCTGGAGGGATTCTGCAAAGTCCCACCCATCTCACTGACTAATTTGAGTATTCCTGATAATCTTCGTGATTATTCAATGATTGATCTAAGATTTGCGTACCGCCCCGTTCGTTTAGTGATTACTCTAAGATTAGATAGTTCTAAGTAGAGCAGCATGTCGGTTTTCGCATAAAGCTTCAGAGCTCTACCCCTTATGCATTTTTTGACCGGATCTATTCTAAGGTCTCTGAGCATAACATTCGTGCGGATGTACCAAGGTACTTTGAAGAGCCTGCGGAGAGCCTGACTTTGACGAACTCACAAAATCGGAGTGTTTATTTGTGGAACTATAAAAGTCGCCACTATTTTTAACTACTACTGCCTGGGCACCATATTAATTTGAATTTCTACTAAATATATATATGCATATAATATAATATATGTAAAAAAAATATATACCTTAATATTATGCAGAAATAAATATATGTCAGGTATAAATAAATATTTAAAAATACAATAAATTATTTTTTTAAAAAAAAAGTTGATTTTTATCTGATTTGATTTTATATTTTTAATTTATTTTAAAAATCATAATAATTTTTTTTTGTTGTTCTTGATTTTTCTTCTTCTTGAGTTAGTGCTATTACGCACTTTTACTCTATAATGGCTGGGGGGCTTATCTCGACACCACACTAGGCTTTAACTAGGCTAAAAAAAAAATCATATCATTTATTTGTCTTTTAGTTGATGACGGACCTTAAATCAACATATCTTTCTGAGAGTCCAGAAGTGGACTTGAGGATTGTTAGAGCGGGGTTAATTAGCGTATCAACTTTAGTGAATAATTTTAGAGCTCTGTCTCTGATATATTTTTTTACTGAGTCAATCCTAAGATCTCTATGTATGTCTGTTGATCTAATATATCATGGAATCCTAAACAGTTTTCTTAAAGCCAGGTTTTGAGCTATCTGTAATTGCTTTAAGGTAGTATTTGAGACTTTACTATATGTAACACATCCGTACAGTAGTGCAGGTCTAATTACTTGCGTATAAAGTATTGTAAAAGGCAAAACACGTGCTTAAAATAGTTTTTTGTTTATTTATTCAATCGTTACTTTTTATTTCCTTTATAAGAAATCAATTAGTAGGAAATATAGTAAAATAGACTTATGTTCATGTAATTTTCATAACAAACATTTATGTACGCTTAAGTATATTATAACATTTGAAATTTTTTAAATTGAACATTTATATAAAAAACTTACTTTTTCCTAGTTAAATAACATAATTATTAAACTTTAATTATATAAATATAAATACAAAAAAATTGTAAACACATATATGTATATATATAACAATGTTTTGAATTCAAACTATAAATATGATTATTTTATTCATTTTTAATGGTAAAAAGTATATTTACTGCTTATTAAAAACAACAACAAATTAAATACTAATGGAACTAATTAAATAAATGCCATGCCATATATACATACAGATATTTATTTCTTTTAGTTACAAACTGGGTGCTGAGCGCTTGGGAAGTTACAACTGTGGAGAGCAATTTTTAAACATAAAAATTAATATGACTGTATAAACTGGGTCAATAATTTTCTGTTTTATTTCCGGCTTTGCTAATAAACGGATATACATAATTTTAATTAAAAACCAAAAGCTTATAATTTTATCAAATTTTATCTACAAGAACAGAGACAATAAGAATTTTTATTTACGAGGGTTGTTTAATAAGTCACCAAATGAGTTTAATCTGGAAAAATTTATAAACTAAAGTTTAGATTAAAGAAAGAAGTGTTTCGGATATTGATAAGGCACACATTTTTGAAAAGTAAACCATTTATGAAACTGAAGGGAAGCTTGTTAAATAATGAGATTCTTCACCTATCATTCCATAGATTTAAAAGTAGTTTATAGTGTTTAATCGAAGTCGTGGGAGTATT